TACAGTAGTCAAACTCTTATTATCCCAAAAAGAAAAAAAAAGAAAATCGATAATCTAACCCCTCCCTGACGAAAAGGTGAAAGAAAACCAATACTAATGTTTTATTATTGATGTTCAGATTTTTTACAAAATATATCCAATAACTGTATTGTTATTGCATATTCTGTTGTCTTATACATTTAAAACTTTTTCCCCCCCCCAGAAAATCACACATGAGAAAAAGAATTGACTCCAATATTTAATTCACAGTCGTAGTCTTATCATTTGACTTCTCCTTTCAGATTTGATAAGTTGAAATTTTTAATCCCAATGTCCTTCAGTTAAGTACACCTTCACCAAACCCGTTTGTACCACTCCCAGCTTACCGCCCTCCATGTTCGCTCCCACCCCCCACCCGTCCTTCCACCCCCCCACCCATCCCACCTCCATAGTCTCCCACCCTCCCCCCCGCCACTCCCCCATCCCAACCACCCCCCACCTCCCCTCCCACCCCCCCACCGGTCCCCTTCCCCATTCCCCCCCATCACCTCCTCCCATTTCCCCGCTTCCACCTCCTCTCACCATGCCCCCCATAAACCCACTAACCCTAATTCGTATCTTCCTGCTTTCTTAATCTTGGGACCACTGCCCCTAAATGCACACCAAAAAACCAGATCCACCTGTCATGTCACACTTTCACACTTGCGAACCAAAATTTTGGTCCCCTTACCAGGTGTTTAATAACTATACTTCCATTGTTCCCCTGTATATACATCTTTGTACTACTTTGGATGGGTTTTGTTACAACCTGCCCTTTTGTTTCTTTCTTTCTCCCTCCCCATTCACCTGGCCAGTGGGCCACTTCCTTGGCGACACGGGATAAATAATATTAGCTCTCTCAATTATAACTATTTTTCTTTTCAAATAAGTAATCTCCTCTTCCAACAAAACACAACTGAAGGAGTACTTGAATAATCATACTACGGATTAACTTTAAATTAAACAAATTAATTATTTATCGCTACTTATACCCTCTAATTCTTTTTCCATCCCTAATTATTCCACCTAAATTGCCCCTGGTCCAGTTACACTGTTTTCCTTCTAAAAGCAAATAAAAAAATCAAGTGTCAAAGTTATCCCATCATGTTATAACAGTAAACACTGTTTAGAATCTATTTACTTGTGTTCACGGAATTGTTCCATTTGTTTGGTAATTTTCGCTGTTTTCACAGTGAAAACAGTTTTAGGTGTTTTCATTTAGTCCTAGGTGGTTTTTCACAATAAAACGATCCAATGAATAATTAATGTTAGTCTGAAAGTTTCAGGAGTTTTTTATTTTGTAGTTCCAAAATATGTTTTCTATTCAGACTAGGTTTAAATTTTATTTTTATTAGTTTTAGTTTATGTTCAATTCGTGTGTGGTTAGAGTTTGAATGCTTTCGTGGTTTTCTTATATTATTTGTTTTTTATTCGTTTAGTATTTGGTAAGTTTTTGGTGTTTATTAAGTGATTGTTTTTTTCGCTTATTCTTGAAGTTCCCCACTTTTTAGGATTTTTTTTGCATTTTTTCTTGTGTGAAAATATTCATTTCATTAAAATTCCCTGTTCTTTATCTCCACTTAACAAGGACATTCCTGAAAAGGATTTCCTTGTATTTCCTTTCCCCCCTATCTGGATTCTCCTCTTTTTTTTCTCCCTCCTTTTGTTACTTGTTATCCACCAGAACATTTACTTTATCATACACATATATGTCATACTATCATTATTTGATATATTGGTTTTTTAAAAACTTGATACCCCTTTTAAAATTGGTTATTTCTTTTTACTTTACACCTCCGCCGTGGTATGAGTTTATTATTTATTCTTTTTAAATTTTTTTTTTCTGGTATTTTTTGTAAACAGAGTACTCTTTTTCTCTTTTTTTTCCCCAAATCTTGAGTGCAGTGTGCTCGCATCTCCAGTTCGACTTCAAGCCTATGTACCACTGCCCCCGGTGTAGTCAGCTGGAGTTTCTCTGCCTCATCCTGTCCCCCAAAGGTAGTTAGACCCTTGGGATTGAACATGGTTTGGTGGGCCCACCCACCTGCGGCCCCCTTTTGCCATACGTTTTTTTGGTTTTATTATTTTTCTTGTTTTTATAGTGTTAGTTATGAGGAAGTGTAATTAAATAGATAAAAGCGTGGTTTATTGTGGGCCGATGGTGGTTCGCCAGGTGGTCTTCCAAAGACTCGCTGGCCCTCCAATCTGGATCTACCATAACTCAGTCAAGCCCCTCAGGCCTCCCAAATTGCTGGGAAATTACAGGCATGATATCCACCATATTTATCCCTGTCTTTTATAAGTTTTCCATTTTGATTTTCTTTACCCAGAATATTCGTGTTTTTACTAATTTTTTTATTTTTTTTTATGTTTCGTTTTCAACTTGATTTCACTCCCACTTAAGTAAGGGGAAAAAACAATCATAACCCTCCCAATGATAGCATTTGGTTACAACTTAACGCTTTCCAAAAATTTCATGTGTTACTATAATATTCCTCTGTTTCTTCTCCTCTTTGTCTTTCTTTTTTTATATTTTTTTTTATTTTTTTTTTTTTTTTTTTTATTTTTAAATTTTTTTTTTTTTAATGTTTTTTTTCTTCTTTTTTTTAGTTTTTTAAATACATAGTTTATTCCCTCTTGTTACTCCATGCGGAGTGGCCAATGGTGTCCCAACTGAATCATCGCGGCTCACCACAACCCTCCCCGCCGTCTCCCTGAAGTTTTCCATCGTCGATTCCTCCTGCCTCAGCCGTGTCCATTGAGTATAAGTCCTGGGGATTAAACATTGGCATTAGGCCAACCAATGCACCATCTAATATCGTTGTTTGTAATATAATTTTTGGTTGTATTTTTATTAATAACCCTCGTTGTTTCACACCATGTATGACGAGGAATTTGTCCCCCTCTAATCTCTTCCTACGCTCGTTATCCACCCACTCGTCCCCACTTCCACCTAGCACCTCCCAAAAGTTGCCCTGGGTTACACAGGCTTAGCCACCCTGGGGGCGCCCTTGGTTAGGCACCATCTCGTTTCTCCTCGTCTTCCTGTCTCTTTCTTCTTGATCTTCCAGTAATAATATACAAAACAGGGGCCATTACTTGAAAATACTTTCATCTATTAGCTTTCATGCTATTATGCTCCGCTGGTTTTCATTCTACTTTTCCGACTGTTTCCATGTCAGTCTTTGCTGACTTCTTCCTCAGTCTACCTTTACATGTCAGTTGTTGGCCAGGCACATTGGCTCATGCCTATAATCTGAGCACTTTAAGAGGCTGAGGTGGGAGGATCGCTTAAGCCCAGGAGTTCAAGACCAGCCTGGGCAACACAGCAAGACCCCCATCATTACAAAATAAAAAATAAAAATTAGCCAGTGGGTTGTAGCATGCACTTGTAGTCCTAGCTACTTGGGAGGCTGAGGCAGGAGGATTGCTGGGGCCCAGGAGTTCAAGGCCTCAGTGAGCTATGATAGCACCACTGCACTTCAGCTTGGGGTAACAAAGCAAGACTGTATTTCAAAAAATGAATGAATGCCAGTTGTTGCAGACTCATCTTATCCCCTCTCATAGCTTAATATACTGTCTGCTAATGCCGTTTCCAGTTTATAGTTCAAAATCTAAAAACAAACACGTATACACACACAGCCAGTATTTGATACCTCCACTTAAACATTTACGAGGGTCAAACATACCTTATATAAAGTGCCTCCCCCAAAGATACTGTATACTTCCTACCTTCCTTTATAAGTCTTACTCATCTCAGTGAAGTAGTCTACCCATTTGTTTAGGCCAAAACCCTAAGAGGCTTCCCTCTCCCTCATTGTTCCCACCTCCATCCCTTTTCAGTCCTTGAGCTTGACCTGTCATCTCAAGGCCTTCCACTGGGCTTCACCTCCATCATCATGACTTTAATCTTAGCTGATATCATGTCTTGCCAGATTTGCTATGATGACCTCTCAACCCTTTCTACCCCCGACCTCTTTCAATCCATGCTTCAAAGTGTACAGGCTGATCTTTTAAAATCTTAAATCATTTTACTTCCTTTCTTAATATTAAGTACCTTCGCATCATACTTAGACTAAAATCTAAACTCATGGCTCTCAAGGCCCTACATGTACCTGTCCTACTGTTCTCAGTGACTGTGTTCCAACCACAACAGCCTTTCTTTCCTAAATACAGCAAGATTTTTTTTTATGTGTATTTGCTGTTTCCACTGCCTTCTTTTCCTCCTGCTCTTTCAGTGGCTGGCTCCTTTGCAGTCTTCTGATTTATTTCAGATTCATTCTATTTAAAAGAGCAATCCAACCTGAGTTCTTCTCTGTCACCTCACCCTGAGTATTTCCTTCATGGCACTTTATTTCCTTGCACTAGATTGTAAGCTTTAAGAGGATAAGACTTATTTTGCTTTTGAGCTATTATAGTCTCAGTTCCTAGCACCATGCCTGGCACCATGATAGACTGTTAGTAAGTGCATATTGTTGAATAAATTAATGCTTTCTTATGCATACTTCAGTTATAACAGTGTTTTTGTTTTAATACATTAACAGAACCAGGAAATACACTCTTCTGGAATGGACCCCAAAAGTGATGACAGCTCCAGAAATTTATTTGTGAAAGCTTTACCGTTAGTATCAAATTCTTTATATTGATTACAAATACTAAGAAAGATTTAATTCTACGATTCATTTATAAAAGGAAATGTCCAACATGTTAACTCGTATATTTGTAGTCTGATGCTTTCTCTGTTAAGAATATATTTAAGAGAATTTGATGTATTGAAATTCTGTCACATATAGCCAAGCTAAAACTTTTTCTGATCTTTCACTCCTTTCTTGATGCCTAAAAGAATCCTTACCACAATTTTTAATTCTACTTCATACTTTTCTTCAGTCATGTTTTTCTATGTACCATGTTCTTATTCTAAGAAGGATTAGTTATTGAAATGAGGTATTTTGCCAGCTCTATGAATAGTCTGGTTCAGAAAATAAATAAATAAAACATCATATTTAGCACAGCTGTCACACTGTCTTGCTGATCCATTTCATTTTTCTAGACCCTATATACCCTCTTCCCCTTCTCTTGGATCAAAGTGCTTTATTTATTTATGAATTATTAAGATTTAATTATAAACAGTAAAATGAACAGATCTCAGTTACACAGTTTGATGAGTTTGACTGATGTTCCTATCTGTGGAACTAAAATTTCAATTAAGACATAGTGTTTTTACTATTAACATTGTGGGCCAAATAATTTGTTGTTGTAGAGGGCTGTCTGTGCATGGTGGTATGTTTAGCAGCATCCATTGCCTCCGCCCAATGAATCCCAGTAAAATCCTCGGGAGAACCAAAAATGACTTCAGATATTGCCACATGTTCCCTGGAGAGCATAACTGCCCTTGGATGAGATCTACTGCCAGAGACAGTTCTTTCATACCTCTTTCAAGTCCGTACTCTTCTCTAGAAGTAACACTAAGATGATTTCTGTCTTTATCGATTACTTTTAATCAGTAGTTTTTAAACTGTTGGACTTTAAGATCTGGCAAAAATCTTTATGTTGTGGGCAAAAGGTAAAATAAGGTAATCGAGTTTGTAAAAGATTACCACAGGCTGTGGTAACTAATAACTACTAGACATTAAACATATGTTTAATGTCTAGAATGGAAAATTCTCTATAGAGAATAAAGAATACAATTACAATTAGAATGAAACTGCCAGAAATCATATTAGAGTATAAAGAACACTTCATATTTCATGAACCAAAGAATAACATTTTTAAAGAAAATGAACAATGTTAGCTTCAGAAGAGTTCAATAGTTAAGCACCACAAAAGCATGTATTCCCAACAGGTAACAGCTCTGCTAATGATAAAGCAGGCTTCTAAAGAGTTGAGTAATCAAACTACATTTTTTTAAAAGTAAATTAATTCTCATTGGCTGTTTCCTCAATTAAATGAAATTGAGTTATATATTTTCAATTGGAATTATCCAACTTGATTGGTTAGTTCTTCAAGGAGTTGAATGTCATTTGTAACAAATCAACCTCCCTGTAATCAGCGTAAGTGTTCTTTGGTTTCCTTTGATACAGAATAGATGTACTGATTTGAAATTGAATTACAAAATGATACTAAAGGAAAGAAAAATTTAGGAAAATATTGAATTTGTTTTTATTACACAATTGTTCAATTTCTTTTTTTTCATCGGTATTTTCTAAGGCAAATTCCTCTTGAAGAAACTGAACTTCCAGGACAAGGAGAATCATTTCAAATAGAAGGTAATTCAAGTGAAAATCTAAAAATATCATTAAGGGCAAGATAAGGTCTTTGAGAACAAATAATTAAATTTTTCTAATTCTTTTTTTAAAACTTTTTAAATTTATTCATCTGGTATTCTGCTCAAAGCAGATCTGTTTATTTTACACAGAATAATAGAGTTTTAAAAATATATCTATTGTGTCAAATCTGTAATCTGAAATTTTGGCCATAACTATGGCAGCAATTTACTGATTGCTACTACGTGTCAGGCTCTATGTTAGGCATTTTACATGCATAATCTCACTTAACCCACTTAACTTGGGAATATAAGTACAGCTAGTCCCATTTTATAGGAACTCAAGAAGAAAAAGTACCTCACATGAAAAAGTCTATATGTTAAGAGCTAGGATTTAAAATCAAATTTGAAATCCAGAGCCATCCCCTTCTTACCTCTTTTAAATTGATATGTCTGCCTTCTCAAATGTCAGTCTCCTCCACTTGAACTAAGCTTCGAAGAGGGGATAACATTTAAATAAGCAAAACCAGACAAATACCCTCACTTTTCCTTAAAATACAGATTGTTTCTTACCTGAGAAGCTTTCTGGTTACCCAAATTTTATTTATTTTTCAAAGAAAAGTTTTGTCCCCCGGCCAGTCTATGGACCTGACCAGGAGGTCCCACTTTTGTCCCACTTTGGAATATGAGGTTCTGCTTCTCTGAATCTGTACTCAATGACACAGACTATTCATTTTCTTTAAAACAAGAGCACATAAAAGCCTATTATAATAGTTTTAAAGATTATGAAGATTGAGTGTCCCTTATCAAAAATGCTTGGGACCAGAAGTGTTTTGGGTTTATTTTAAATTTGGAATATTTGCATTATATCAGTTCATCATCCCTAATTTGAAAATCCGAAATCCAGAACCCTCCAGTTAGCATTTCCTTGGAGCATCATGACTGCACTGAAAAAGTTTTGGATTTCAGATTAGGGATACTAAACCTGTACAGGATTATTTTACATGTCACATATAAGCTATCAGCCGATCATTGGCAAGTAAATAGTTGGTAATACTTAAGTTCCCCAGATTTTTATTTACAAATTTTATAACATAGAAAAACTACAGAATGACTTTTTGATCATTGAGTTTCTTACTTTGAATTCTAAAATTCTTGAAATTCAAATTTCCACAGTGTTTTTCTCATTTATTTTTTAAATTCTCAGACCAGATACCTACTATTCCTCAAGACACACTGGGATATGATTTTGATTCAGATGAAGCTAAGTCCACTGATAATATCTTACCTAGAACTGTATCTGTTCGTAGCAGTTTAAAGAAACATTCTAATAGTGTATGTCCCTTTGATAGCTTGGATGATTTTGGTTTTGAAACCAGTCATTTGGCAGGGAAGTCTTTTGAATTGGAAAGAGTTGGATTTTTAGACCCACTAGTAAAAGTGCACATACCTCAAAACGTACAACACAATGTTTGTCAATGGAACATGGACCAAGTTAACTTACCACCAAAGCTGATTCAGCCAGCAACATTTACTACAACAAAAGAAGACTTTTTAGAATCTAAATCTGAGCAAATTAAAAGTAAGCAAAGAGATGCACAAGAAAGAAAAGGAGAAGAGAAAAGAAAAGCTAACAGGAGAAAATCAAAACCTATGTCAAAACATAAAAAAAATAAAAGCAAAAATAAAAAAACTGTTTACAAAAAAGAAATGCATGAATCTCTCAGTTCCAATGATGCTTACAATTTCAATTTGAAAGAGGGTGTTCATCTTACTCCTTTCCGACAAAAAATGAGCAATGACTCTAATAGAGAAGAAAACAACAATGAGTCTGAAGTGAGCATCTGTGAATCAAGTGGTTCAGGAGATGATTCCAATGACCTCTATCTGCCCACTTGCAAGTGCCTTCAGAATCCCACCAGTGATTCAGATAGAAGACCAGTCACCAGGCCTCGATCTAAAAGAGCACTGAAATACACGGATGAAAAAGAGACAGAGGGTTCTAAGCCAACAGAAACTCCTACCAGTAAGTGATCTACTTGTTTGCCTGCGTTTTTAATGTTTATGATAAATGATCACTACTGATGCTTATATACTATACTTACCATCTGTTTCTCTGATGGAGGTTAGAGACTTACCATCTGTCTCTCTTTGGGGGAAGTTATGGTCTGATTAAATAGTTGGGGGCTGGGTGTGGAAATCACAGTTGTATTGCTCTGACCTAATTCAGAGATTACTTGTTACAGAGTCAGAATTTTTATTTTCAGAAAATGAGGACTCCCAAGGAGACAGAGGGACTTTTTTGTGGAGTTAGGCTGAATTAAAAAGTAGCTTTTATGCACTTATATGAAATGTCTTGAAAGTTAAATCATATTGAATCCAGTTATTTATTTTAATGGTTTTGTTTTGTACTAAATTTGACAGGAACTATGATTTAAAATAATTTTCTAGTTAGTGAACATGGCCTAATGAAAGCAAGAAACTATTTACTCAATTGATAGGCTTAGTGTTCTTTTGTATGACATCTCTAAAACTGGCTCAGAAAATAAAATAAAAAGTCTTTTATTAGATCAAAAGTAGGCATAGTTCAGATGTTCATAATACAACCTACACCTATCCACAAAGATTCTCATTTGGCAATTTTAGTTAATACAAGTAAAACTAACATGTAGTCAAGTATCATTTTCAAAATACTGTCACATCATTTTATTTGATACTCAAATTCTGTGAAGTACAGATGTTATGATGCTTATTTTGTTTGTAAGGAAATTAAAACCTTAAAAAGTGAACCAACTTTCTAAATTAGCCAGTTAGTGGTAGCAGGCAAATATCTTTTCTTCTGTTTTGTTTTGATTTTTTTGGGACGGAGTCTTGCTCTATCACCAGGCTGGAGTGCAGTGGCACGATCTCAGCTCACTGCAACCTCTGCCTCCTGGTCCAAGCGATTCCCCTGCCTCAGCCTGCCAAGTAGCTGGGAATACAGGCACGCACCGCTATGCCGAGCTAATTTTTTATATTTTAGTAGAGACGGGGTTTAACTATGTTGGCCAGAATGGTCTTGATCTCTGGACCTCATGATCCAACCCCCTTGGCCTCCCCAAGTGCTGGGATTATAGGCGTGAGCCACCACGCCCGGCCTAAATATCTTTGTTAAAAATATACTGTAGGCTGGGCACGGTGGCTCACTACATTGCCATTGCACTACAGCCTGAGCAACAAGAGCAAAATTCCATCTCAAAAAAATAAATATTTATATATATATATGTGCTGTAATGATGTTAGAATAAATCAAACAACGTTGGCAAAGTGTTGATAATTATTGAACTTGGGTAACGCAGAGTTTATTATTATACTGTTATTGCCATCTTTATGTACATTTGAAAATGTCCAGAACAAGTTGAAATTTTTTGTTTGTTTTTTTCACTTTTTAATTGAGACACCCAGGCTGGAGTGCAGTGACGTGATCATGGCTCACTGCAGTCTCAACCTCCCAGGCTCAAGTGATTCTTCCATGTCAGCCTCCCCAGTAGCTGGGACTACAGGCATGCACCACCACATCTTTGTTAACTTTTTGTAAAGACAGGGTCTCACTGTGTTGCCCAGGCTGGTCTCGCAAATTCCTAGGCTCAAGCAGTCCTTCTGCCTTGGCCTCTCAGAGTTCTGGGATTACAGATGTGAGCCACCACACCCAGCCCATAAAAAATACATTTTTTAAAAAAACAAATATACTCTAAAATAGTATTACTCATATTTTGATCAATAGACCTTTCCTTAGAATGCAGAATCTCAGGCCATACCCCATACCCTGGAGTCAGAATCTGCATCTTTTTTTTTTTTTGAGGCGGAGTTTCACTCTTGTTGTCCAGGCTGGAGTGCAGTGGAGCGATCTCGGCTCAGCACAACCTCCACCTCCATGTTCAAGTGATTCTTCTGCCTTAACCTCCCAAATAGCTGAGATTACAGGCATGTGCCACCACACCCGGCTAATTTTGTATTTTTAGTAGAGATGGGGTTTCTCCATGTTGATCAGGCTGGTTTGCTGGTCTCGAACTCCCAACCTCAGGTGATCTGCCCACCGCAGCCTCAGAAAGTACAGGGATTATAGACATGAGCCACCGTACCCAGCCAGTCTGCATCTTTTTAAGAAGTTCTCCAGTGGTTTCATTTACATATTAAAGTTTGAGAAGCATTTTTCTAGAATATAGCAATTGATCTGATACTATTGTATAAGGCGTATTTCCCAAACTGAAAGTTGGAATAATTAATACAGTACAGTATACTTACGTGGCAACAAAAAGGACAGACTATAAAACCCAGATAACACTGGAGCGTGTGGCTCTTAGTGTACAATCATTTCACAGTTAAGTTTACCTTTATGGAGATACAGTTTGCTTTGTAAAGCTATTTGAGGAGATTGTCTTGTAGTATCATTACTATGTGTTGGACATTTGCCTCCCAAATAGGTATAGCTCCGCCGGGCACGGTGGCTCAAGCCTGTAATCCCAGCACTTTGGGAGGCCGAGGTGGGCGGATCACAAGGTCAAGAGATCGAGACCATCCTGGTCAACATGGTGAAACCCTGTCTCTACTAAAAATACAAAACATTAGCTGGGCATGGTGGCGCGTGCCTGTAATCCCAGCTACTCAGGAGGCTAAGGCAGGAGAATTGCCTGAACCCAGGAGGCGGAGGTTGCGGTGAGCCGAGATCACGCCATTGCACTCCAGCCTGGGTAACAAGAGCAAAACTCCGTCGCAAAAAAAAAGAACAGACACAAATAGGTATAGCTGCAAAGTATAACTTGGATATTTATGATGAGGAAAACACTGAGTAACTTTTTAACATGCTAGCTTTCCTCCTGGTTTACACAGAGGCTGTTATTTAGCATTCTCATTTATTTAATGGAAGGAATTTTAGTAGGAATTTAAGACTGTAGGAAGACACTTGATAATAAACTTTGGTATTGATAAAGAGAGAAGACTTTATTCTAAATAGCAAGGTGTGACTAAAATGAAATTCCATGGCTAAACTAACTCATTATGCCCAAGTTCTCCTAGAAGAATTTCACATTTTAGTAATGTGTTCTGTTATATCAGTTCTTCATATCTATTATGATTACTATTTCAACAGTCTGAAAGGAAGAGAAAAAAATGACAAAGCTAAAAAAAAAAAAAAAAAAAAAGATATTATTGGCTGGGCATGGTGGTACACACCTGTAATCCCAACTGCTTGGAAGGCTGAAGCTGGATAATCGCTTGAACCCAGGAGGCACAGGTTGCAGTGAGGTGAGATCACACCGCTGCACTTCAGCCTGGGCAACACAGTGAGAGCCCATCACAAAAAAAAAAAATTGTATTATTAAGTGCTGGATTTTGTATACAGTTAAGATATATAAAATTGAGTACAATTTTAATTCCTGTGGTGTAGGAGGAGGGGGTTAGCCGTATTCAGTAAAAATTGTTTTATAGGTATACCACCTGAAACTCACCGGTCACCTCATCTTAGCCTGAAGGATATCACCAATGTATCCTCGTATCCTGTTGTGAAAATCAGGAAGCTTTCTCTTTCTCCAAAAAAGAATATAGAAAGCCCAGCAGTGTCCCTGCCTAAACGTAGGTGTACAGCCAGTGTGAACTATAAGGAGCCTACCCTCGTTTCGTAAGTATTTAGTTTGTGGGAACTCATTTTTAATGATACATGTCAGGGGACTACGGTTATTGGAGCTTTGTTCAAGAATGAGTTTTATCTGAGATGTAAACATTTGATTTTAAAAAACTGAAGTGAGAACATTTAAAATTGGTGTGTTTTCCCATAACTTGATACTGAAGAGTAAGTTAATATTAGGATCCTTATATTATGCCTGAGATCTCTTTTTACTCTTACAGGAAGCTGAGAAGAGGGGACCCTTTTACAGATTTATGTTTCTTGAATTCTCCTATTTTCAAACAGAAAAAGGATTTGAGACGTTCTAAAAAAGTATGAAACAAATACAATGAAGGTTTTGTTGGATACTGTTTAAATTGAATCTACACTTTTTTCTATTGCTTCAAGAGAAGATCTGTAAGAGTACACAAACGGAGTGAGCTATTGCCATAGAATATTCTCTTAGCTCATAAACATTTCTTCAGAACTCTGCTTCAAATGGGATGTTTTGTATTAAAACTTTAATAAAGTTAATTTATTTTTTCTTTTGAATATGAATATAAACTGAACTTAAGCATTTTCATCATAAAGATTTCTTATGTATGGTGCCCGAGCCTCTTAATTTTTCTTTATCCATCAGTGAACATTTAAGTTTGCACATCTTTGAAGAAACATCTATTCAAATCCAATACGTTGTTTTTTGTTGTTGTGTTTTAGTTCTATATATATATATTAGATATTAGTCCCTTATCAGATATGATCTCCAAATGTCCTCCCACATTCAGTGGGTTGCCTTTTTACTCTGTTGATAATGTCCTTTGATGTACAATAGATCTGAAACTTGAACCCAGTTTGTCTATTTTTTTCTTTTGTTGCCTGTGCTATTGGTGTCATATCCAATAAATCATTTTCAAATAAAAATGTCATAAAGCCTTTTCCCTTCTATTTTCTTCTAAGTCATAATTTTTTAATACATAGGTAGAATTAATTTGCTAAATTTTTTTTTTTTTTTTTGAGACACAGTGTCACTCTGTTGCCCAGGCTGGAATGCAGTGGTGCAATCTTGGCTCACTGCAACCTCCCACTTCTAGGTTCCAGCAGTTCTCCTGCCACAGCCTCCCAAGTAGCTGGTATTACAGGTGTGCCCCACCATGTCCAGCTAATTTTTTTATTTTTAGTAGAGTCAGGGTTTCACCATGTTGACTAGGCTAGTCTCAAACTCCTGACCTCAAGTGATCCACCTGCCTCAGTCTCCCAAAGTGCTGGGATTACAGGTGTGAGCCACTATGCCCAGCCAACATTGTGTTGAGGATGTTTTGTATCTATGTCATGAGTAAAATTTGCCTATATCATTTCTTGTATACACCTTGAATTCTTGGTATCAAGGGTATACTAGCAATGTTTTCTTTTTTTGCTTTGTGGGAACAAATTGTACCTATTGAGAGTTTGGTGAACTTGACACTAAAACCATCTTTCTATGCTTTCGTGGAGAAATTTTGTACCAGTTTTTTAATGATTATAAGTCTTACAGGTTCTCTAATTCTTATCTGTTTAATTTTCTTCCTTGGGAATTATAAACGTACATGTATTGTGGAAACTGCTATAATTTTACTTTCATTGAATTTTTTTTTTTTTTTTTTTTTTTTTTTTTGGCTTTCTATCTGCTACGATTTGGTTTCTCCAAATCTCATGTTGAAGTCTAATCCCCAGTGTTGCTGGGGGGTCTAATGGCAGGTGTTTGGGTCATGGGAACAGGTCCCTCATGAATGAATTAATGCCCTCACTGGGAGGATGGGATGAGTAAGCTCTCACTCTATTAGTTCCCAAGGCAGCAAAGAGCCTGGTGCCACTTCTCTCTTGCTTCCTTTCTTGCTGTGTGACCTCTGCACATGCCAGCTCCCCTTTGCCTTCCACCATGAGTGGAAGCAGTCTGAGGCTTTCACCTCATGCCCATCTTCCAGCCACCAGAATTATAAGCCAAATATACAGTTTATCAATTATCTAGCTTCAGGTATTCCTTTATAGCAACACAAATGAACTAAGAAACTACTTCACTTTTTATGTCATTTTGATAATGGTCAAATTCTGTGTTTTCCTTAAAATGAATTCAATTTTGCCTTCACTTCTGAGGTACAGGTTAGTGTTACTAATTTTCTTAGTCTTGATTTTGTTGTTGAGAAGTCTTGTCATTCTAATTTTTCTTCCTATTTTGTTAATTTGGCCCTTAACATTTCATTATCTTATTATAAATGTATTGTTCTTAATTTTCAGTTATTTTGCTGCTAGTTTATGAAAGTTATTTTCATATCTAGACCTTGCTAAATTCACCCACTAGTTCTACCATTTTTTGCAGTTCCATTAGGATTTTTTATGTACATCGTCTTAAGGTCTACACATAAAGACAGTTTACTTCTATTTTGCCTGCCTTTTCTTGTTTTCCTGCACTGACTAGAACTTCATAATGAATAGGGATGAAAAGAGCAGTTATCTTTGCCTTGTTCTCAACTTTAGGAAGAAGCATTTGGTCCTATGGCATTACTGTGATATTAGCTATAAGTGATTAATAACCTTTCTCACACTGAAGACATTTCCTTGTATTCTTTCTTTGCTGGGAGATTTTTTCCTATTTTTGAATCATAAGTGTTGAACTTTGACAGATAACTTTATGGAGGTGATACTGTTTTCTCCTTTATTAATACGGTGAGTTAAATTAACATATTTCTCATTTTAAATCAACCTTGAGTTAATGGGATAAATCCATCACTCAGTCATAACATCATTTTTGTATATTGCTGAATTTTATTTGTTAATATTTTATTAAAGATCTTCATATCTATGTTTGTGAGAGTTATTGGTCTATAGTTTTCTTGTGGTTTTTGAATTTTTTCTAGCTTTATCAGGATAATAATATAAGCCTTATAAAAAGGGTTCACAAGTCTTCCCACCTCCTCTCTTTTCTGAGTTTGTGTAGATTGATATTACTTCTCTCTTGAATGTGTGATACACTAGTGAGACTATCTGTGCTAGGACTTTTGTTTGTAGAAACATTCATTTTTAAATATGAATTCATTTTTAAAGTTGATGTAGAGATGTTTAGGTTTTCTATTTCTTTGGACAATTTTGCTAATTTGTGTTATACAAGGACTTTGTTCATCTAAATTATCAAATTATTTGACATGTTATTCATAATCCCTTGTACTCTGTCTTGCATATAAGATCTGTAGTTATCCTCTCTCATTCCTGATATTGATAACCTTTTCCCCATTTGCCTCAAGAATAATTTTATAATATTTCCTTGTACTTTTGTCTTGCATGTAAGAGCTGTAGTTATCTTCCTCTCATTCCTGATACTGATAACCTTTTTCCCATTTGCCAAGAATATTCACTGGCAGCGCTTGCAGCTGCAGAGTTTACCCAGAGATAACTTTGCCACAAAATGATCTCACTCTTACCATTATTTTTGCATCACTCTGGTGTATTGACTTTGGAAACAAAAGATACCATTCCATTTATAGCATTCTGTTATAGTAGTACTGTATTTCTATTTAGAAAATCTAGTTCTCTGGCTAGCCATGTGCAGAAAGCAGAAACCAGACCTCTTCCTGACACCTTACACTAAAATTAACTCCAGATGGAGTCAAGATTTAAACATAAGACCTACCACCATAAAAGCCCTAGAAGAAAATCTAGGCAAAACCATTCAGGACATAGGCATAGGCAAGGACTTCATGACCAAAACACCAAAAGCATTGGCAACAAAAGCCAAAATAGACAAATCGGACCTAATCAAACTCCACAGCTTCTGCACAGCAAAAGAAACCATCATTAGAGTGAATTGGCAACCAACAGAATGGGGAAAAAAAATATGCAATCTGCCCATCTGACAAAGGGCTAATATCTAGAATCTACAAAGAACTAAAACAGATTTACAAGAAAAAAACAAGCCCATTCAAAAATGGGCAAAGGATATGAACAGATACTTTACAAAAGAAGACATACATGAGGCCAACAAACATGAAAAAATGCTCATCATCACTGGTCATTAGCGAAATGCAAATCAAAACCACATTGAGATACCATCTCACATCAGTTAGAATAGCGATCATTTAAAAATCTGGAGACAACAGATGCTGGAGAGGATGTGGAGAAATAGGAACACTTTTACACTGTTGGTGGGAGGGTAAATTAGTTCAACCATTGTGGAAGAGTGTGGCGATTCCTCAAGGACCTAGAAATAGAAATCCCATTTGACCCAGCAATCCCATTACTGGGTATATATCCAAAGGATTATAAATTGTTCTTTTATAAGGACACATGCACACATATGTTCATTGCAGCACTGTTCACAATAGCAAAGACTTGGAATCAACCCAAATGCCCATTGATGATAGACTGGACAGGAAAAATGTGGTACATATACACCATGGAATACTATGCAGCCATAAAAAATGAGTTTGTGTCCTTTGTAGGGACATGGATGAAACTGGAAACCATCATCCTCAGCAAACTGACACAAGAACAGAAAAACACCGCATGTTCTCACTCATAGGTGGGTGTTGAACAATGAGAACACATGGATACAGGGAGGGGAGCATCACACACTGGGGTCTGTGGGGGAGAACTAGGGGAGGGACAGTGGGGGGTGGGGAGTTGGGGAGGGATAACATGGGGAGAAATGTCAGATATAGGTGATGGAGAGGAAGGCAGCAAACCACATTGCCATGTATGTACCTATGCAACAATCTTGCATGTTCTTTACATGTATCCCAAAACCTAAAATGCAATAAAATATATACTAAAAAAAAAAAAAAATTCAAAAATTAGCTGGGCATGGTGGCAGGCACCTGCAATCCCAGCTACTCAGGAGGCTGAGGCAGGAGAATTGCATGAACCCAGGAGGCGGAGGTTGCAGTGAGCCAAGACGCCACTGCACTCCAGCCTGGGCGACAAAGTGACACCATCGCCCCCCCGCCCAAAAAAAAAATAGCATAAAGGGTGACAAATAATTAACTGGTCCATAGTACCTCAGTCTGATCTTGTTTCTACTTCTTAGTTTCTGGAAATTGTTCTTCCAGTTATAATGAAAACCTCAAAGTCTCCCTCTCACCATTTGCTTCTAATAAATATGTCCCATTTTAAATTATTGATTTAAGTAGACTTATTCTCCATTACAGAAGTTTACTTCCTTGTAGGAGGACATACATCATCTCCTGGCTTCCTTCTGTCCCCTCATTCATTCTTACCCGGGAGGGACTTGCCTAACTAAGGAGTTAAATAATAACATACTTACCATTGGTTATTATGGACATAGGCTGATACGTCCCACTCTTACCTGGGCTTCTTCAGGGTTGACCTGCCTTCAGAGAGCACCACTGCTCTTGGCCTGCTATAAGCTTAGTGGGAAAGTCCATACCCCATTAGTGGGTACAGAGCAACTGGTCAATCACATTCTGGGGTTCAGCATTAGCCCATTTTCCACAGATATAAGGAAGCTACATTTCCAATATCCATTTTACTAGTATTAAAGGTAATATTTCGGCCATCATATGCCCTTTAAAAA